CCTTAAAGGAAGAACAGGAAAAGTGGGCAGAAACTGTGGTGCCAGTTACTCACAGGATCTACAGTCGGAAGATTGGAAAGTCTCCTCCTTTTCCTGCTTGGGCCTGGTGTGGATACAGAATGGTGCCCGTCATCAAAGTCCCCGCTGACACTACTAGATGGGGAGGTAGCTCGTCTTCTCTTGGAACCCATGGAATCCAACTTCTTCTATAAGAAATAATCAGCCATGTTCTTATACTTAAATTTAGACACTGCCACCAAGCCCTCAGACAGCCATGTGCTACCACGACTCTGGTTCACTTACAAGGATATTTTAACTGTTGTAAAGAAATTTAACTGTCAGTTTTTTCAATGGAAATTCTGGACCTTGTTGGTTTTAGCCCCTTCACTTACCAAAATGCTACACTTTCAATTCAGATAGGACAAACTCAACGAAAGTATACCCTTTTATGTAGCACCCAATTTTGAATGACCCAATCACATCTGGTTCCAAATTTACTCCTCACTGGATTTTAAAAACCTACATGTAATGCAATGTGGAAGTACCGATCCCTCAAGCCCCTGAGGCAGCCAGGCAGGCCACGGGGACAGAAGCCCAAAGGCAAGCACTTCTGGAGTCAGCAGCTTCATCTGTTTTCCCCAGTGTGTCTTACAATAATGATCATTTTCCAGGTGGGCCATGACATGGAAAAAATAGCAATCAGTGCTTGAGGCACATAAGTACTGGCACAGTGTAGAAGGTAGAGGACAGTTAATCTTCTAGCATTTTAGATGAACTCTAAGAATAATGCACTGAAAATGAATTTCCTCCACTTATTAAAGAAGGCCACAACACATATCCCTGGAAAACACTTAATGTGACTTACCACACCTGTGTCAAAGTAGTAAAACTACTTTGAAGCTTTTCTGTCAATCAGACTGATCTCCTTTTCAGTCATATGAGGTATTCCATGCTCATAAATTTTGAAATCATAGCTTTAAGTTCCAGTAGGTGATTTGGAATAGCAGCTCAAAAGTGAACTTTTAGGTCCTACTCGGTCTTTCAGAAGTACATAAATATTTGCTTTCAGGGTTAGGTAGGTGTCTAGTAACTAATATTAACACAACTTTACAAAGGTACACATTTGATTGTAACACAAAAAATGCAACCACTGAAATGATCTGCTACAGCTACAGGGAAAGGGTATATGCCTGAGAAGGTTCTTTAATGCTTATACAATTTAACAACAGTATCAAATAGCATACTATGATTCCAAAGGTCTTTCTCTAAAGCTAAAAGAAAAACCTTATCCTAATTTCACTCATCAACATTCAACTTCAGTAAACTAAGACACCAGCAGCTGAAAGAATGAGTTGCCAGTAGGTATGGAGGAAAAAATTGGGCATCTTCAGGAACAGAAACGAGGGGCAAAACAAACCAGTATTAAAAAAAAAAAAAAATTCTGGTAACCACTAAGAAACAAGAGGAGTCCCCTATGTCTTCCTCTGAAACACAGTCCACATGGTATTTAAAACAGCCTTCTATGACAATATTCCTTCCTCTAGGCTTTGGTTCATTATATGGTATATTAGTTTGCAATTGGCTACACGTGGCTTAAATGTTCAAAGGGCTTATGCCAAGGATAGCCAAGTTTTGTTGATTTTCTTTTGTTTATAAAAGCTGATCAACTGGCCTTAATTCATTAAAGTGAAGACACTAAGGACCAAACCTAATTAAACAAGCTATGACAAGGACACAAGTGAATCTGATGAAAATGAGGAGGGACTCTTTATGGAACTGATAACAAAATTCAAGAAAAGTGGAAGGCAAAAGGCAAGGAAGGACAGAAAAGAGAAAAGGTGTAGATGATCAGTAATTTACCAGCTTTACCAGAGCACAACCAGCGCCTCGAAAAGCCAGTCTCCTCATTATGTCTGAAGGCCAAGTGAAGCCAGTGGGAGAAGGAAGGGCTTTAGAAGTGCTGATTCAGTGTTAATATATTCAAAACTGAAAGAGAAGAACAAGGCAGAGAAAGGGGAAATAAAAAAAAAAAAAGGTCAGAAGGAATAAAAATGAGTACGAATAGATAGAAAACATTCAAGTAGAACTGCTAAAGAAAGAGAACTGGAAAACATAAGCATATCAATTTTCTTGAGCCAAACTGCTGCAAAGGCTCAGGCACTAACAGTACCTGACATTTCTTTCCATTTTAAAACCAAATGCTTTTCATATACTTAAATAAGGCTCACTGATATTCCCCTTTACTCACATGGAATGACTGTCAATTCCAGGAATGAAGCATGCCTGCCCAAATGCCCCCTAGTCAATAAGAGCAGAGTTCAATCACAGAGCTGGAATGGAGAGTGAACACATGTGGAAGGCTCACATATGACCCCAAGTGTTGGCAAGCTGGAACAAACCAAGAATGGCCCATGTGAGCAGTCTGGAAAACTCCGCCCCCCCCCCCTAAAAAAAAATTCAGAGAAAGACATTTCTTTCCAAAAGTCCTAACATCATTGGAAAGACACCACACACACATTTAGAAAGATTAAAAACAAAACCTTCAATCATTTTGTCAGATCAAAATTACCTTAATAAATAATCCAGTGAAAAGCAAATGACAAAAAAATGTAAATCATTGGTATGTGTAAACCAGTTTAGACCACACAATATCCCAAAGTCCTTAAACCATTCAGTTTCCCTGGTAAAACAAGAAAAAGATGCAACTTCAGGATAACTTTCAATTATTTTCTTATTCAATGGACACATTTTTAAATGTATTTTGGAAGCTGGCAAGAAAGGCAATGTGACCTGGCAGCTGGGAAAGGTAACATTGAGATCAGAAGACCAGAATGTGAGTTTCAAGTCCCCCACCTCACATGATCTGTTTGATGTTACTTGAGTCACAACCTTTTGGATCCAGTTCTTCACTTCTCAAATGAGAGCAGTCAGATCTACACATCTCCTTTAGATTACTGGGGCTGTGAAATGTACATGAAATCACTTTGAAACCTCAAAGCGCAGCAAAGAAGTTTCAACTGTAGGATTACATGCTCCCCTGGGAACAGGAAAAGCATTTTATTCATTTTTGTAGCACTGGCTTATAAAATAGTATTTGGTATAATATGAAAGATCAATTCATCTTTTTAATAACATATTAAAAGTATACATAAGTGGGACATTTAAAGTTTGTGCAATTTAAAAAGATTATGATGAGCATCCCTTCAGCAATTTTTTTCCCACAAAGAGGAAATAGATTCTGGAGCTCGAGATTCTGGAGCTCAGTTACAAGTTTTAAAATGGCACTGATTATAATTACATGTCAAAAAGTCTGACAACCAACAAATTACAGTGGACACTAAAGAATAACTTTACAATGTGCAACTAGGAAAATATTTACTCATTACAACCATATGGTATATTTTGACAGCTTATTAACTTTTAGTACCCTCCTTTATTTCTCTTGATACTCAATACTGTAATGCATGCTTAAAACAAGAGTCTTGGAAAACAGAATTCCAAGGGAAAAAAACTTATAATCCTTTCTGGAAAAAAACACCCTTAACATTGGCATTCACAGCTTTCTGTATTTATTCTATGCTTTGCCTTTTTTTTTTTTTAAAACAAAAGTGTTAAACCTTATGTATTATTTTGTAACTTGTGTTTTAACTTACGATTCTTCTGAGTCAACATTTTTCCACGTGATGTTTGATGGCTTGATAATAGCTTATCATATAGATACACTACAACTTACTAATCTTGGGATTTTGGATAGAATATTAACATGTGAGGTATTGTGTAGACCCAAAAGCCAAAGAAAACGATCAAGGACCTTCCTTTTACCCACACACATATTTGTTACTGTCTTAATTGTAAGTATTTCTTCAAAAGATACTTTCTAATCTTCCTTTGAATTTTAAAATACAACAATATGTTAACAAGTAATAAAGCAAAATCATATTACTCTTAATGGGGAAAAATCACCTCAAAATCATTTTTGAGGAGCCCTAGTTTTTTGGAAAATAAGTTAATAATGTTTTATTCCAACATGTTTCTCTAACTATAGCAATAATTTCTATATCTGCTATACCATGTATTTGTCTTTTTTCAGTATTTCTTCTACATTTTGCCAATCTTTCTTCTTTTAATCACCAAAATCTACCGTATTACAACAAAACTACGCTTCTCTTTCAGTAAAAAAATTAAAAAGCAGGAAACGTACACAGCTTTAAAACCTCAATTTTTTGTGGTTTCATATAAATAAGATAAATAGCCTCTACTATAAATACAAGTGCCATTGATAAAACACTCGGTCTTAACACAATCATCTGTAAAATGTAAAAAAAAGAAAAAAAGAAAGAAAGAATCGCTAGTTGAGTTTGCGTCCGAACCGACAACAACAAAAAAAGGAGGCCCTGACCTGCGGAAGAAATGAAAGACTTTCCGGACCTGTCACTGGTACGGGGACTAAGGGAAACGTTGACAGCTTTGAAGCTGCCCGCGACAAGCGCTCGGCCAGCCGCCGGGGCGGGAAAATGGGAGCGAAGTTTCCGGGCCGCGGTACGCCTTTGTCCCCACCAGCAGGTGCGGCAAAGCTGCCGGGCCGTCCCGACGCCCGCCGCCGAGCCCCGCCCCGCGCGCCGGGCCCGACCGGCGCGTCCCCACGGCCGGGGCGGGGCCTCCGCTGCTGCTCCCGCCCGCCGGGGCCCACACAAAGGCCCGGCAGCCGGCCGAGTGGGAGCGGCCCCACCCGCCCCGGACCCGGCCTTACCCAGCCGCTCCGTCGTCTGCAGCCCCGGCCGCGGTCGCCGACCGCCACGCCCCGCCCCGTGGCCGCCACGGCTGCTGCTATTGCTCCTCCGGCTGCGGCCGCTGCCGTCGCTCCAGCACCCGCCGCCCTCACCGCCCTCACCCCTCCCGGTGCCGCCGCAAAACCAATCCCGCGGCCGCCAAGCGACTCCAGCTCCGCACGACACTGCGTGCGCGCGCACGCGAGCGGGCGGCGGCGCTCTTTACGGCGGTAGCGTCAGTGCGTGGCGCTCGCGCTTGGCTGTAGTTCACACGTGGCTGTGTTGGACGCACGTTGTAGCCGCAGCCTCTTCGGGTACTTCCCTTCTCGCTACCGGGATGAAGCGACCGAGTGAGTGGCGTCGGGAAGCGGGTGTGGAGGGGACTCTGTCTCTGCTAGCTTATGCACCACCGGGCGCTCTTCTGCGGGAATGGAGAGCCTGCGGGTAGGCCGTCGTGCTGGTCCACAGTTGAACCGAAAGGGGGAAGGCCCCACGTTCGCCGCGCGCCTGTAGTACGAAACGAAGACATAAGTGGAGACTAGGCGAGGAAACAGTGTCTGAACCAGGTTTCGGGCCCAGACTTTTCTCCTCGGCCACGTTCATTTTGGTCCTGGTGAGGTCTGAGATCCGCCTCTGAAAGCCACTGTTTGCTTGTAACTTTTGTTTCATGGTGTTTGACGAGAAGTGGCTGCCGTTAGGGGTCTCATGCTCTTGTATGCAACTCGTCTATATGGGAAGAGTGGGAGCAAGGAAGCTGGGCTCTGCTCTGCATCTATGGAGTCAAATTTTCTGGGATTTTAGAGTGGCGCATGTTTATTATCCACCACGTATGATACTTAGGTTTGAGAGTTAATTAACTAATAGGAAAAGGGACGTGATTCCAGAGCACACCCACTAAAAACGAAACAAATTGATCATTTGTGTCTAATCCTTCTGTGACGGGTTTCTTTGTAGAGTTAAAGAAAGCAAGTAAACGCATGACCTGTCATAAGCGGTATAAGATCCAAAAAAAGGTAAGTCCTGTGCTTGGGAGAACTATATTAGAGATAATGCTAATATGATTTCTGCTCCACCTCTCCTCCACTAGAGGGTCTGGATTAATAGGTTTTCACTTAATGAAATCGAACTTAGACTCTTCATGAGCACAAGTTCGTAGGCATCAGGAATATGGCTGTGGTGATGTGCAGTAATTTGGTGAAAGAATGTAAACTCTGATCAGTACGTTAGCCTTTGCAGAGACTCAACTGGTGCCTTTTTTTTTCTTTGCTATTTTATACATAAATATGCATGTTGTATATATAGTTACAACTTTAGCCACATTGGCTAGTAAATTTCATAAACTAAGTAAAAATTTTTATCATGATAGGTTCGAGAGCACCATCGAAAATTGAGGAAGGAGGCCAAAAAACGGGGTCACAAAAAGCCTAGAAAAGACCCAGGAGTTCCAAACAGTGCTCCCTTTAAGGAGGCTCTTCTCCGGGAAGCAGAGCTAAGGAAACAGCGAGTAAGATATGTTAGCTGAAACTTTGAACAAGTGACGTGTGGGTATGTGTAGTTTTTGAAAGTAAAGTAAATTGCCTTGGCTCACCCATTTCTCTTGGTTACAGCTTGAAGAACTAAAACAGCAGCAGAAACTTGATAGGCATAAAGAACAGGAAAAGAAAAGGAAACTTGAAACTAACCCTGGTGTTAAGGCATCTAACTTGGAACCTGTGAAGGAGGTATAATTAAGTCTCCTTGTGAATGAGACTTCTACTGTAGAAGTAAAAGCACACTCAGGGCAGGGGCTATTGTGCTTCCTGGGCAGAAAAAGAGTTCTGTTTTATTTATGGAAATAACAATTGGAATGTCCCTAATTAGCTGCGGGAAGTGGAGAAAGATGTTACAACTGAACTGCTAATTGTGTCCTTTTTTTTTGTTTGTTTTTATCTTGTAGGAATCTGGGCAATGCAAGGCTAAGAACAAAACCAAGTCAGGCAAACAGAATCCGAAGAAGTTGTATTGTCAGGAACTTAAAAAGGTATTTTAGTCTAGGTCAGTGGGTAAAAATGGTAATGAGGTTGGGAAAGACTGGAGTCCTTTTTTCCTGATACAACTGTGAAACGGTGAAAGTGGAATTCACTTGAGCTAGAAAAATTTTTCAGAAAGTTGGCTTATCCTATTTGTTTATTGTGGCTTAGTCTATTTAGGGCCTCTTCTGTTTAGCTAAAGGAGATACTCTTATGGTTTAAACTTTTTGCATAGGAACACATTTCCTATAAGTATGATTTTTAAAAGTGGCACTTTATGTTAAAGGAACATGACGGTGTAGGGCTTTTTAAAATAGGGGAAAATATGGGGTGCCTAGGTGGCTCATTCAGTTAAGTGTCCAACTTGATTTCAGCTCAGGTCATGATCTCATGTTTTGTGCAGTCAAGCCCCCACATCCATGCTCTTAGCATGGAGCCTGCTTAGGATTTTCTCTCCCTCTCTCTGTCTCTCCCCCAACATGCAGGCACTGGTGCTTGCTCTCTCAAAAATAAACTTTAAAAAAAAAATTTTTTTTTAATGTTTTTTATTTCTGAGAGAGAGAGAGACAGCATGAGCAGGGTAGGGTCAGAGAGAGAGGGAGATACAGAATCCAAAACGTGCTCCAGGCTCCGAGCTGGCTGTCAGCACAGAGTCCAATGCAGGGCTCAAACCCACAAACCGTGAGATCATGACCTGAGCCGAAGTCAGACACTTAACCAACTGAGCCACCCAGGCGCCCCCAAAATAAACTTAAAATAGAGGAGAATACATTAGAGCAACCAGTGTGGAAAAAGTCTTTAAAATGCTCTGTTGAAGCCCACGTGAAGGAGATCAAGGAGTGTCTTGGCATAGCTGCTCCCCAGAACTCCCATCCCAAATGCCTGTTTTCCCAAGCTCACTCTCCTCTGTGAACAGAACAGGACTGCTACTCAGCAGTCTTGGCAGGGCCACAGGGGGCCTATCAAACTACATAATTCACTGTGGGAGGGTTCAAGACAGTCGGGTATTTCCACCTTTGAAATCCACTTTGATGAGAGACCAGAGGCTGCCAGGCAAACGTGTTTTTTACTTTCCTGTGAGAAATGATGGATATGTGAACATCCTTCATGCCAAAGAGAAGACAAAAGATCCAACATCGAGTTCACACTGTTGCAAAGTGGGAAACGCTAGTATATTTGTATGAAGGTGTTGCCAGAGTAAGGGATGCTCCTCTGATAGTCTCTGTCTTGACAGGTGATTGAAGCCTCAGATATTGTGCTGGAGGTGTTGGATGCCAGAGATCCTCTCGGTTGCAGGTGTCCCCAGGTAGAAGAGGCCATTATCCAGAGTGGACAGAAAAAGCTGGTACTTGTATTAAATAAATCAGGTGAGCAAAAGGGATGCATTTTTTGTTCCATATGCACTAGCGAGGTATGAGGAAAACATGTGAACAGTCTGATTTTCACTGAAGACTGTTAAGATCCAACTCTGATCTCAATAAAGCCAGTGCATATGGTCTTGTTGCCAAAGACCATACTGGGCAATGGGTGGAGATAATTTTCTATAAGTGATTAATTGGTTTCAGCTATCCTTTTGACATTCATTACTTAGCACTTTATCTTATGTAGGAGTGTAAGCTTCTGTATACAGCTTACTGTGCAATGTATTTCACATAGGAAGGAATGGCAGTGTGCCATATTCCCAACACCTGCATAATGTCCATATGTAATAGTATTTATGTGAAGTGCAGGTACATATGGGTTTGAGCATCAGGGCCGGGAAAACTTGGGAAGCAGAGAGTAAGAATGGGTTCCACAGTTATTGCTGGGGCCAGTAAACATTCCAGAAATTTTGGAAACATAGCCTTAGAGTTAGTAGGGTAATAATCTACAGGTTGACTTAAACTTGAAAGGGTAAGCCTTACAGAGGAGAAATGAAGAAATACGGAGGTATAGATACTGAAATCTGTTGAGATAAGGGCAGCATAGTAGGGAGCTTATCCTCTCTCCCCATCTTCCACTTAAATCATTTTGAAAAAGCTGTAGAAACAAACCAGAGTGAAATCCAGATAATGCATATTCCTGTCAATAAAATGACCAAATTGGAGCATGTGTCTTATTCCTAATTCCTATTAGATTTGGTACCAAAGGAGAATTTGGAGAACTGGCTAAATTATTTGAAGAAGGAATTACCAACAGTGGTGTTCAGAGCCTCAACAAATCTGAGGGACAAGGGCAAGAAGATAATCAAGGTATTTTGCACTGTTAGTGGGAAGTATGGTTCTTTCAGATTTCGGATGGCTGAAATATGATGAGTGTAGAAAATCTTGATTAAAAATGAGAACTCATAAGATCCAACTCTGATTTCATCCACAGATAATCTGAAAGATAATAGTGTGATTTTAATAGCTGGGTTCTGGAGCCAGATTGCTTGGGTTTTATCTGGTGAGTTACCAGAAGTAGTTAAACTTATTTGGAATTTTATGTAGCATTTGAAGTTAAGGAAGCGAGCTCCATTCAGAAATGAAGGCTGTGTTGGGAAGGAAGGCCTTTGGAAGCTGCTTAAAAGTTTTCAGGAGACTTACGGCAAAGCCATTCAGGTTGGAGTCATTGGTGAGTTTCAGTTCAACACATTTTATGTATTACTTCTTATGTGCCAAGACTTTTTCCATGCTAACTGTGTGGGATTGGTGCTAAATAAAAGGCTCATTCAAACATTAGCTTCTTGCCCATTTCAAACACACACACAAAAAATGTTAATTGCTGCCTATTTCAGTCTTTTTGCCAGATGTGTACTGTAGGAGGTTGGCTTCTGAAAGCTCCTACTTTACGTGAATTAATAATCCTATCCTTGATTACTTGTGCAAGAAATGAAGATGCTGAGATTGGTCTTAGTGTTGAAATGAAGACACTCAGATCCAACTCTGATCTTGCTCTAAACGTCAAGCAAATCTAAAATAAGGCAGTGGGAATTTTCTAATTCCAATATAAAACATAATGCCTTTTGTTCTGTGGATTTCCCATTTGTAGGTTTCCCAAATGTGGGGAAAAGCAGCATCATCAATAGCTTGAAACAAGAACGGATATGTAATGTTGGTGTATCGATGGGGCTTACAAGGTAAATTGAGTTCTTACATAATTGTAATATTTTATCATAGTTGAATCAATATTTTATTATGGATAGCTCAAGAAAGACCATTTTCTACTCTTTAGAGATGTCAGGGAAAGGAATAGGGTTAAGTTAGTGCTAGGTTTAGGGAAGAATGGATCTAGTTTGAAAGACAAGCAAATAGATTGGGGGGGATTATTATTTATGGCAGAGGAAACAGCATGTGTTTAGGTCAGTAGATAAGCTGTAATGTAGTGTTTCTCTTTAGAAGGAGATGGAGCACTGTTAAAGAGTTTCAGATAAAACATGAAGCAAATGATGATAAACTGGATCTGACAGACGGTGCTGAGTTTGTTCAATCCAACCCTGAGCTTCGTGTTCTCTCTCATCGTTCAGATAAACCAGTGCTCCCATCAGTTACCATCCCTCTTGTTCTAGGTGCATGCAGGTTGTCACCCTGGACAAACAGATCACAATCATAGACAGTCCAAGCTGCATCGTGTCTCCGCTTAACTCTGCCAGCACACTTGCTCTGAGGAGTCCAGCGAGTATTGAAGTGGTGAAACCAGTAGAGGCTGCTAGCGCCATCTTGTCCCAGGCAGATGCTCGACAGGTATAAGAACCTCTTCCCTTGAGCTCCATTTTCTCTTCATCATAAGCCTTTAATTGGGAGATTTTTCAAGGCTTTTTACACTATATGAGATGAATGACATTTTCAGTTTTCTTTTTTTTAAGGTAGTACTGAAATTTACCGTCCCAGACTTTAAGAATCCTCTGGAATTTTTTACATTGCTTGCTCAGAGAAGAGGACTGCACCAAAGAGGTGGAAGCCCAAATGTAGAAGGTGCGGCCAAACTGATGTGGTCTGAGTGGACAGGGTAAGACTTCTTTCTGTTGGCATTTTAAGGACCACATGGAATGAAGAAGGCACTGATTTTTGACAGATCTTATTTTTTTTTTTTAAATGCTTATTTATTTATTTACTTATTTATTTATTTATTTTTTTACAAATAGTTTATTGTCAAATTAGTTTCTACATAACTGACAGATCTTATTTTGAACACTAGTGCCTCTTTAGGTTACTATTGCCATCCCCCTACATCCTGGACTCCTCCTCCGCATTTTAACGAGGGCATCATGACAGAGATGAAACAGGGCCTTAATCTAGAAGAATTAGAAAAGAACAACGCACACAGCATACACAGTAAGGAGGACTTGGGTTTGCTGTCTTCGTTGGCTGATGGTGCAATAAAGGTCTCCTGTTTACACGGGCTATGTTCCTTCCCTAGGCATCAGGGGCCCTCGTTTAGCCAGTAGCATCCTTTTCCAGTCTTCGGGTCTAACAAATGGAATAATAGAAGAAATGGACATACCTGAAGAACTGCCAAAACAGAAAAAGAAACAGCAAGGGGAGGGGGAGGACCACCTCGACCTCAACAGTGACCAGGAGAGTGTTGACGAAGAAGCTGATGTAAGTATGTTGCACACAAGTTGCTGAAGCTTAAGTACATTTTCTAGCATTAATGTTTAACAAATGGGAAGGGGCTGAAGGTAGAAATTAAACAGTTCATGACAGACTGCTCCCCACCCCCACCCCCCCCAAAAAAAACCCCAAGAAAACCTAAGGTTTAGTATTTAAGGTTTGGAATCATTAGTCTTAATTTTGTGTATCTCATTACAGGTACCTTCAGAGTCTTTTTCCAGATGTGCAGTTACTTAGATTAATGAGCAGACAAGGGCTACTAATCTTGCACTCTTTCTCTTTGTCCCACAGGAAGAGAGCTTAGCCATGGTCCCAGAAGAGGAGTCCTGGGCACTGCCTGAGGAGTCTCAAGCAGGTGGGCTGGGTGGAGGGATTTGCTAATGACAGAGCAGCATGTTATTGAATTTTTAACCCCAACTTCTCTTTTTCTCCAATATAGATGAGTCAGCACTATCTTACATCTCAGATAAAATGACCGAAGAGGAAGATGATGCTTATGACTTCAGCACAGACTATGTATAACAGAACCTTGTCTTTTTAGAAGGTGTTTTTTTTTTTTTAAACATTTTGAGCGGACTACTAAGCTCTTGTATTGTGTGTGATGTATAGCTTGTTGCTGTATGCCACAAGCTGTGTAAATTTTGTAAATATATACTATGGTACACTCATTTTTTTAAAAATGAAGCAATTCATAAAGTGTCTGAATTCTATAGAAGCACCGCTCTTAACACACAACTGGATAGAAGTATAATTACTTGGAAGCAAAGCATCAGACACCTATTGAAAAATGTAGGTTTCACTTTATTAACAGATCAGACCACAGGTTAATGTTACAAAATTAAAACCAAGCAGTAGTGTTGAACTAGCTATACCATCCCTGTCAGTCTTTCAGCACGGTAGTAAGCAAACATGTGGTAAGGCAGATGGAGACATACATAGCCTATCTGGGAAGCTGACTGCTAAACAGGGTAGTTTGTCCTCTTTACCCAGCTGAAAGGTCCTTCTTTCCATGGGTTGCTGCAGATAAGCATTGAAGCCTTGCAACTGATAATTCCCACGCATACTGTCTTCCAGGATTTCCTGAGAAATGCTTATAGCATAAATTATGTTTTATTTTGTATTTGAGATCTCCATATGTCTTCGGATCAGGCTGAATTTGCCTGTGGGGTCTGGAATATACCATTTTTCCCAGACATCGGAATAGGAAGCAGTTCTTCCCCATGGCTTAAAGTGACCATTCCAATGGAGTAACTTGGCAGCCTTTACAAACTGGGGTGAATATCGTTTTCCAGCACTGGAACCTTACATTGAGAGAAAAAGAGCCAAATGATTATACCTAGTACTAATCAGAAGTATGAATGCTACATCAAACTCCAGAAAACTTAAAGGAAACTGGATATATCCATCCTTGAGAATAGACACTTAATTCTTTACTAGGTCAGACCTTTGGTTAATTTTTTCAACTTACCAAGGTGGCGGACATTCCACATGGGGTCGATTGTAGAGTGCTGTTGATAAAATACAATCAGCAGAGGAGGTGTTGTGGTGCTGCCAGCCAATGTTCTGCTGTACAGTCCCTCTCTTGGGGGGACAAATGACAAATATAAGCTGTTACTGGAGAATTCTTAAAAATTCCTCTTAGACAAGATCACCCGGGTTGAAATAAGCATCTTTACAGCTTGGTCAGCTGTGTACTTACTCTACATTGAGTTTCATCCATTTTTCCAGCTGGTTGGTTATATTCTGTCTTTTCCATTCTGTCAAGTTTGCAACAAAAACTCCAGGATTAAATGAGCAGGTGCTGGCTTTCATGGAAAGTTTACGAATTCTCTCTTTTTTATAGTCAAGATAGCCAATGTAATTGTACTAAAACACAAATGGGATAGATAGGTTTACTGCTTCAAACAGAATAGATGTAAATGATAGCCAATAAAGAAAAAACCTGCTTATTAAACTACTCAGACTATTAGCAAAGGGGCTCTTTGTAAAACAAAGAAAAATGACATTTGGGAGATGCATGGGTGGCTTGGTTAAGTGTCCAACTTTTGATCTCAGTCCAGGTCATGATCTTGTGGGATCCAGCTCTGCACTGACAGCATAGAGCCTGCTTGGGATGTTCTCTCTCTCTCTAGCCTTCCCCTGCGCACATGTACACCTGTACTCCCCTTCTCAAACATTTAAAAAAATTATTTTAAAAAAACATGACATTTGGGATTCCAAATTAAAATAGGAACCTAGAATAAACATAAGCCAGATATTCAAGGAGATTAGGTTAAAATCATGAGCCAACTCACAGAAAAGCAGCCTTGAGTTTTGGGATGAACTGGGGAATGGAAAATGCAGCAAAAAAGAAAGAGCGCCTTGATTTTGCTGCCTCTCCCCATTACCTTGCAACATACAGCATGGCGTGTCTATGTAAGATCTTTAATAAGTAATTTACCTGGTTCCCTGCTCCACGGATGACCACTTTGGTAGAGGCTGAGTCACAATCTTCTGAAAATGCAGCTGCGTGCCCTGGCTTCAGTGGTGTATTGTAAAGGGCAAGAATATCCCCTGAAACAGACAAGGTATAAAATTAGATTTATTTATTTAAGATTTACACTTTGAGTTACATCAAGATACCCATTCCTCCCACTTAGGATGACCTTTTATAGGATACCATAAATAAATAACTGTTACCACCCATGGTCTGGACAGAGAACAGCACTACTGGCGACAGTCATTGGTACCTTGCACAATTACATCATCATCCATATATATGGCCTTCTTTGCACTGGGAACCAGAATTGGCAAGTAGAACCTTGCAAAGGTTAACTGGAAAAGGAAAAAGAGCCATTGGCATAGGATTCATCAGTGGCTATGCCTTTATCAGAAACTCCCAGCGTGCTCAGTACCCATGCAGGATAAGAGCTGAAAGTCTCTTAGAACTGCCCAAACTTGGTCCCCAGGGAACCATACCCAGGTATTCCAGTCATTTCCTAATACAGTTGACTCATGAATAATGTGAGGTTTAGGGCCACTGGCCCCTTGCACGAAAATCCACATTACAACTGTTGACTCTTCCCAAAACTTAATAGCCCCCTGTTGACCAGAAACCTTACCTATAATAATACATTTGTATGTATTATATGCAGTATTACAATAATGGAAGCTAGAGAAAATGTTAAGAAAATTGTAAGGAACAAAAATTTATAGTGCTATATCAAAAAAAAAATAATAATAATCTGCATATAGGTGGACCCATGCAGTTCAAACCTGTTTTTGAGTCAACCAAACTCCCAAGTACAAACAAGGATACATGGAACTCACTGGTTTTATGGACTCCCCCTGGTCAGGATCTTCCTTTACTTTCCCTTCCAAAAGTTTGGTGTCAAAATCCACAATTTTGTACCTGATGCTTTTCAAAGTACTGCTGCTGAGCCAGGACCTGATGAAAATCACCAAATTTCAGTTTTAAATAACCATGTCCCCAGGGGCGCCTGGGCGGCTCAGTTGGTTAAGTGTTCAACTTTGGCTCAGGTTATAATTTCATGGTTTGTGAGTTCAAGCCCCTCATCAGGATCTGTGCTGACCACTCAGAGCCTGGAGCCCGCTTCAGATTCTGTCTCTCTCTCTCTCTGCTCCTACCCCACTTGTGCTCTGTCTCTCTCAAAAATAAACATTTAAAAGTTTTAACAAATAAATAACCATGTCCCCAAACTACAGCTTTCTCTTTGTGCCTTCCAATGAGGGCATAATGTAGTTTAAAAGAAACCCTGGGCACCAAATAGATATCTTCAAGCCCTTTTACTTCTGTGACCCTTGGTTTCTTCATCTAAGTGAAGGGATGACCATCACAGTCCCTGCCTGAACCAAGATTCTGTGGTGATGGATAGTATTCCCACCAAGCTCACACTAAGGATCACTGCTGGAGAAAAATAAGTTGAGGACATCCCATCATCACACGGACCAATCAACTCTTGTTTTTCCAAATACGTGCTGAAGAAAATAAGTCAAAATATGATGGCAGTGAAAGCTAATTGTCGACAATGCTGGTAGTCAGCCTGTTCTTATAGACTGATTAATTCACTGTAATGACTAAGTAATTCTTCCACCTGTGTCTAAGGTACTAGCTGTAAGTCTGCACATTTTTCCTGTAGTCTATGCAAATGCAGTATTTGTTTCTACATTATTTTAGATGGTTTTGGAGTTTTTATTTTTTTAATGTTTATTTTTGAGACAGACAGGAGCATGAACAAGGGAGGGGCAGAGAGAGGGAGACACAGAATCTGAAGCAGGATCCAGGCTCTAAGCTGTCAGCACAGAACACCATGTGGGGCTTGAACCCATAAACCGTGAGACTGTGACCTGAGCCAAGGTTAGATGTTTAACCAATTGAGCCACCCAGGCACCCCTTGGAGTTCTTAAAAATGGAAAAAATAATAACTTTCACAAACTAAACATGAACCATGGAGAAAGCCACAAGGACAGAAATGTTTTAGAACAGTGACAATTGTTAGCCTATTAAATAAGATACTTCTTTGAATATCATAAATCTGAATTCAGAGCATTTTCAAGACCTGGATGAGACCATCAGATTAGGATTCTATGACCAATCACAATTATAGAAAGGAATGTTTACTATTATGTTCTTAATGGTTTTTTTTTTTAATATATTTCCTCATTTGCAATACAGTAATCCTCTAAGTTGGATATTTTCACCCCATACTTAAAGATGAGGAAATGGGCTCCAAGGGGTTAAGTAATTCTCACCATTCACCAGGCCAGGATATGGATTCCGTGTCTATATGCTCACTTCACCATCCCACCTTGCCACTGCTCCCCCTACCCATTCCACTCTAGAACTAACTACTCAAGATGTGTCCATGAGATAAGGAACTTGTAACAGAATGTAAATCAACATATTGCTTCCTTCGCCGAGAAACTTATTACTAAAAAAAAATAACTGATTTGATAATGTATGTATGACACAATTTACATCTTGGCACAAATTCCTTATATTCTTTCTCCTACCTCAGGGACATGTTTATGATACAATCAACGGAAAAAGCTGTCATGTATAGTTTTTATGTGGTATGGTCTCAATTCTATAGAAGTATATACATATAGAAAAAAACATTCCTGGATTGGCAGCTGGCCTGGTCTAGAGCATCCTCTAGAAGCAGAGGCATCAGGCAAGCAGAGCTCACCGGAGATGGTCTGCTGTACCATTGAGCGTAACGATGTAGAACATCACATTGGAGCGAGTATTGTGCTGAATGCTGTTTATGGCTGCAACGGCCCCCCCGAGCCTATCTTCAGATGCAGCAATGACCACAGGAATCTCCTCTTGTCTCCCATCTACAGCTTGTCGGGGAACATTTGGGACAAAGTCTATGGGCTGAAACCCCACAATTCCTGAATCTGCAAAGAACACACACAAGGAAAGTATTGTGATACAAAACCTCATTAAGCTTTTGATCTACAGCCCAAGACATGAAAAGAGGTAAGGTGAGGATTATACTTACTTCATTCTTCTCCCATTACAACGTGAGGCATATAGCCCAGAAATTGTTTTTTCTATACGTAACAAAGCTTTTAGAAAAGTAGAAGCATTAAAAAAAAAAAAATTGGTGGACTGAATTCTGATACACTACTGGTGGGAATACAACAGAATCTTTCCAGAATGTCTTTTTAGCAATTTGTATGAAGAACCTTAAACAGGTACATGACCTCTGACCCAGTAAATTCCCTTTGCCTCTCTTAAGGACAAATCTGACAGATAATCTAAAGTCAAAAGTTTGTTTATAATTGTGAAAACCTAGAAACAGGCTAAACCATTGTTTTTCAAACCATGAATTATGTTGCATAAATAATCAATTTGGTGGGTCACGATCAGTATGTGAGTAGAAAAGCAGTTCCTAAATTGGAATAGAGCACCAAATCAGGAAAGTATCAGACCACACACACACTGCAATTCTAAGTACTGTTGTAAACATTCCTTTTTGCCTCTTACAATATATATTCATTCATTTACATTCGTTGGACACTGAGCACCTAATATGTGCAAGGCAATAGCTAGTCATTGGGGTTGTAGCTGTAAATAAAATAAAAATCTCTACCACAATGAAGGGCAGATGGACAATAAGCAAATACAGGTGTAGATTTGGGTGCTATATATAATATGTTTCTTATTGTGGGGATGCCATCAAAAAAAAGTCTGAGTCACATTGTTCCAAGACTTTTTTTCCGGTGGAAAAGAAATTATGTGGCGTTAAAATTATATATGGGGATGCCTGGGTGGCTCAGTCGGTTAAGCATCTGACTTCCGCTCAGGTCATGATCTCATGGTTCGTGGTTTCAAGCCCTGTGTAGGGCTCTGTGCTGACGGCTAGCTCAGAGCCTGGAGACTGCTTCGGATTTTATATCTCTCTCTCTCTCCTCAGAAATAAAACCCTCCCCTGCTCATGCTGCCTCTCTCTCTCTCTTTCTCTCTCTCAGAAATAAAACATTTAAAAAAATTTTTTTAATAAAATTATATATGAAGAATATCTACCATCACGGTGACTTGCTTCAAATATAATCACATGGAAAAACATGTCATTGTAGTTTATATATTACATAATCTCATAAAAGAAAAAATATATACACAGAAAAAAAGCAAGGAAGCCACTAAGCCAAAATTTTAATAATAGCTATATCTCAGCAATGAAATAATTTTCAATGAATATTTATTGAGCACCTCCTGTGTACTAGCCATCATCTAATTGCATGGGAGATAAAGCAGTGAACAAATTATTCTGGTGGAGCTTGAATGCTGTTTTCATTTTTATAAATGTTCCCACCATATATTACTTTATGTATACATTATACGTATCATAGATTACTTTATGTATACGTTACACATACATATGTAAATACACAGTTATAAAACATGCTGTCAGAGCACTCCATAAAGGTGAGGCAAAAGCTATTAGTCTTTTCTTGTTCTGGTCAATGAGGGTGGGTAGCAACTGCAAAATGATTTTTGACAAGCATCCTGAAACCTCCCAATACCGAAGTAAAGCAATGGAATCATCCAATAAAGTGATTTTTTTTTAAATCAGTTAATAAGGGCTTCTGGTTTTGTCTTACTACTTACAGTCCCAGCACTACTGCTCCACACATTAAAGGAAAAACAGGTGAAGGAAACGAACCCCACTGACACTAGTAAACAGGGCAGGCATCCAGTAGAAGCCTCACCTACCTGTCCCCACCTTCTGAAGCCCTGCAGCTCTGCAATGAGCAGATAGCTCGCCTCTAATTTGGTGAAAAGGGGTCTGTGCTGTTGTCAGATCAAACAATTAGCAAATCTCCACACAACAGGGAAGTGGGGGTGGGGCTGTAAGAACTCCACAGTCACCATCACCTTTTCCCAGAGTCCAGCAGCTTTTATAAGGACAGGAAGAAACCTTTTCCTTTAGCCTAGTGATTTAACTTTTAGGATGTGGGACACAGGGAACCCTGGGTCCTCAACAGACGCAAAAGCATTAGTAAGGGTTCCCATACCTGAAAGCTCATTCCTTAGCAAACTGCTCAGGCCGAGGAAGTTATGGTGCAAAACCAGTAAGAAGAGAGCAACGACCAGGATCAGGATAATGATGTTTACTAAGACAAAGAGGAAAAGCCTGCATTATATCTCTTTACCTTTTGAGCAGCTATAAAAACAACAAAATTTGTAGAAAGAGCATACCTTTACGGAATGACATCTTTCTCTTCTGTCTTACGTATGCATTAGTTTTTAATCCTACAAAACAAAAACAAGCGCCCAAAGTCAGCAGGTACATGAAAATGGCTGTTGAAATGCCTCAGCATTTTACTTAGGTAGAAACAAGAAATGCATACAAGTATTTTCTGCCAGAAGCTCACTCTGAATTAATAGTTTCCAAGAACCCCATTTGGGATCTGAATTTTATATAGTAGTCATGGTAATAAAATACCTGCAAATAACCTGGGGGAAACAGATAGCCTTGTATATTAAATGTCACCAGATGAAAAGCAAAATAAATTCCACCAAAAAGACTACTTGAGGTCTAACCACTATGGAAATGTTTTCTGAATAAATTTCTACTCAAAATTTCTAGTTAAATTAGCTATGGACTCTGTTGTCTAGAACCTGAGGTCAGCCTCACTGGCACAAAATGTCCCTGTTCTGAGTTGTATCCCATTCAGGTTTAACTGGAATTAAAGAGAAAAAATTTTCTGTATTCATTTAAAACAAAATTTCATTTAAATAGAAATCCGTTTAAAGCAGAGAAACATTAATTTCAAAAATGTACAAAACCCAATTTTGCTATCAAAAGCTGAGATTGCTGTTTTCAAAAATTAAAAATCCGCTAAAAAAAAAAAAAGCTTTTTCAGGGCTTCATTTCTGTTGGTTAACACTCATCTCTTCCTAAAGTGGCATCTAATACTGTCACTTAGCCTGTGGCTTATGCTCCTCAGTTCATCTGATGCCTTCTCTTTAAAAAAGATAATAGGAGGGCCTGGGTGGCTCTGTCAGAAGAACATGGGGTTGTGAGTTCAAGTTCTGCCAATGGATGTAGAGATTACTTAAAAAATAAATTTAAAAAAATCTAAAATAATAATAAAGATAATTTAATGAAAGTGAGATTGTGTGTGGAACAAAATTAAATGATCTGATTTCTACAACAATCTCTGGGTAATGTTTCCTTATAAAAACAGATTTATCCAACCAGGGGTTTTATACTCCTATCTTTGAGACCTTTACCCTTTTCTACTTCATCTTCCCCAGTGGAAGCACCTAACATTTACATAAGGCTATTAACTTCACAAAGCACCTTGAATTATAGCATATTTCTAAAATCGAAGTAGGGCTGCCTGGGTAGCTCAATCAGTTAAGCATCTGGTTTCAGCTCAGGTCATGATCTTACAGTTTGTGGGTTCAAGCCCCACGTCGGGCTCTGTACTGACAGCTCAGAGCCTGGAGCTCTGATTCTATGTCTCCCTCTCTCTCTACCCCTCCGCCATTCACACTCTGTCTCCCAAAAACGAATGTTAAAAAAAAATTTTAATAAAAAAATTAAAAAATAAAATCAAAGTAAGTTTGAATTAATTTCATCTGAAGTGTGTGCCTATCAGGCACTTGGTTTCTCAAGGCCTTTGAAAAAGAAATATATTGAAGTGTTGTTTTAAGAATTGAGATTCATAGACCAGACTACAAATTTGGGAGAAAATAATTCAGACTCCCAAAGAACAATCCAAAACACACACACACTCTCTCCCTCTCTTTCATTTCTTTCTAGAGTAGTATATATAAAGTACATTATACCAATGAACTTCTCTAAAGAATGCATTATATACCCTGAGCAGTGTAGTTATCACATGGTGGGCTGAGCCTTACCTACAAAAACTGGTTGACCAGAAGCCCCACAGACAAAACTCTTAACATCTGCCTGTCTGGAGCCAATTTCCACCACAATTAAAGAGAACTGCCTCACTTGAATAAATCTCATTTAACTTAATATTACAAGGGACAGTATTTTAGCTCAACAACATCCAGTAAGTTACTTAGAGATAGTATATGGATTGAGGGGTACGTGTATTTGTGCTCTTAACAATTAGCTAGACACAAGAAAACCACAATCCTGGCAGGTACTTGATGTGCTTAACTAAATTAGCATGGCAGATACTATTTGCTTCTAGAACTCTTCCACAGTTATCTATCTGCAAAATGCCAATTATTATGAAGTATGTCTGATCTATATTTTCTTTCCTGTTGCTTTTCATTGTAATGAAATTCACTGATCTGGTTAGAAAGAATTCTCAAAACCTCATGTCGACCCTGGATGTGTAATAGTGGCTATGTTTTTGTAAGAGTACACAGCTATGAACAATTTGACCAGCAATATTCAATTTTTCGCTAGGAAAATTAATTATTTTTTATTTAGAAATTATAAAACCTTCACATTCCCAAATCACTCACAAAACATGCATATACACACAACCAGGGCGAGCATATCCAAAAATAATGGGTGAAGAAACCTGAGGGAGAAAGAATACCATTTTTTTTTTAACTTGCTAATTACCAGCATTAGTACCCACATTCTTGGCAGATGTACCCACCTTTTCTGCTTTCCCTCAGAAAGCAGAAATCCCAAGAAAGGTCATTCCACCGACGCTCTGTAAGCTAACCTCTACTTGTTTCCTTGGTGCGGCATCAGCAAGCTCCTTCACTCTCTGCTGGATCACACCCATCAGCATATTATCATGCTCTTACACTTTCCAGTTAATTAAAAAAAAAAAAAAAAGACACCACTCCCCTCCCCCAGTTGACCCACAGACCCATTTTTCTGCTCCCCTCACTCTAAACGCTTGAAAACATTGCATCTCTAGCTCCACTTCCTCTCCTCCTCTTCTTTTAGCCTCCTCCAACCAGACTTCTGTCCCTACTGCTCCATTCAAACTGATCTTGTTGAGGTCACCAAAGACTAGGTCATCTTTTTTTTTTTTTTTTAATGTTTATTTAGTTTTGAGAGTGAGGGAGGGGCAGACAGAGAAAATCTCAAGCTGACTCCACATCCAGGGAGGAGCCCAATACGGAGCTCAATCTCACAACTGTATCTCATGCCAAGGTCATCTTTCTGTCCTGTTATCCATCCCCTCAGAAGCCATCAGCAAAGTTTACCACATCCCCTCAATTACGAAATCCTCTCATTTATTTTTTTAATGTTTATTTTTGAGAGAGAGAAACAGAGCATGAGCAGGAGACAGGCAGAGAGCAAGGGAGACACACAATCTCAGGCAGGGTACAGGCTCCAAGCTATCAGCACAGAGCCTGACACGAGGCTCGAACTCACAAACGTTGAGACCATGACCTGAGCTGAAGTCAGTTCTCAGCTCAGAAAGGGAACACAATCTTTGATAATGGTCATGAAAACACATTTCAACATAAGGAACGACATGGATTCCAACAGAGATCTCTCTCAAATGGAAGCTGACAAGCAACTTCCTTTTCTCATCATATCTTCATAGTTCAAATACTATAATGCCTCTATAGCAACTGACACACTGTAAAGTGCATTTAAAAAGGGATAACACAGGGGTGCCTGGCTGGCTCAGTCGCAGGAGCAAGCAACTCTTGACCCCAAGTTGTCAGCTGGTGCCCGTTTTGGGTGTAGAGATTTCCTAAATATTTTTAAAAGGAACGGGGGGTAATACAGAGGGATATGTCTATTTCTACATACAACAAAGTCTATTAAGTCTCTGCCAGGCTGAAAAGTGGAACGGCACTAAGGATATATACCCACTTTCTCCTACCTCTTCATCTGGCTAACTCCTACTTGGCTTTCCGGACTAGAGGGAGGCTCTCCCAAACCCCACATTCAAGCTGCACCTGCCCTGAGCTCCCACATCCCCTAGCCCTCCCTATTCCAGAATAAATCTGGCTGCCATTTATTTCTAGGGTTATGCCATTGTCTCACTTGACACATTCTCGGCTCTAGGAAGGTAAGGATCTGTGTGATGTTGGTCACAGCCGTATCCTAGGCCCACTGCATGTCAGAGAAAAAGGTACCACGAATGTGCTGAACATATGAATGTGGACGGCAGCCTGCCCGGGGAGAGCTGAGCATCCCACTGTCTGCGACCCTGACACGCAAGACAGCAAGGGCCAGGGAGCCACCTGGGATTCACAGGACCAGGTTAGGTAGGGCGGTTTCTCTCCAAAGCGTGGGCACCGCATACCGCTCAGAGGAACAAGGGAGGGCCTAAATTTTTGAGGTAGACACCAGCTTTGAATGAGGCAAAGCGAACCCTTGGCCCCCATAGGGAGAGACCCATGCAGCCGGCGAGCGTGTTGGACGGCCAACCCGGGAGACTCCGAATGGGAGCCATCTCTCCATTTCGGTGCAAGGGACGGCCGAGGGCGGGTCCCCTCTTTGAGATGATGCTCTATCGACAATGTGGCCCGGGGTACTCCCCTCGAAATTATAAGGGCCAATAGGGGTCCCTTACGCTTAGAGGTGATAGGGGCAGTGTGACGCTCCGGAGGACCCCACCCCCACGCCCAGAGACCCCGGGTTAGGGCCCGGGCAAGCAGTTCCTCCCGGATGCTCCCCGCAGCCGCCCTTACCTGCAGCCAGAGAGGGAGGAGCCACCGTCCGCGCCCCGGCCCGCCCCGCCAGCTCAGCACCCGCGCGGCAGGCCCGGGGGCCCAGTCCGCCGCCGGGCCACCCGCCTCCCGTGCACTCCGGACCGAGCCCGCCCTTCCGCTAGCTCCGCGGCCGCCGAGCAGTCCCGAAACTCGAAACCCGCCAGCGGCTCCGACTGCAGGAGCGTGGCGCCAGACAGGCGCGCCGGGCAGCCCGGCCGCCGGGGTCCTCGCCGAGAAATGCCGGTCGCCATGGAGACGGGGCGCGCGCTGGCAGCCGTTAGGCCTCGGGGACGCCGAGGAGAACAGTTTGGAGGGCCGGGGCCGCGGCTCCCGGCACCCAACGTTACTGACGGCTAAGCCCTCCCGGCCGCGCGATGCCTCCGCTCGACCACCACCGTCACCACCTCAGCCCTCGCGGGCAGTGCGCCGGGCTACAGCCGGCTCTCAGAGAGCAAGTCGCCTAGCGATTGCGCGGGGCGGGGCCGCCGGCCATTCGGGTCTGTGGGAGACATCCGCTTCCGGGGCCAAAGCCCTCGCGTTGCCCGGCTCTGCGACTCCGCCGTGCTGCACCTGGTATCAGACCCCGGTCCCTGAGTCGCTCCTGCCTTCGCCCTGCTGCCAGCATTCTCAGCCAGTCATGTTGGAGCATCTGAGCTCGCTGCCTACACAAATGGTGAGGGCTCGACCCCAGGACTCCCCGCACGCCTCTCTCGAGCTGCCAGTTCCGTGGACCTAGTCTCTTCCCTAAATTGTGCTTCCCGGGTCCCCATCTCTCTTCGCCCGCGAGGAGCTCCCTGCTCATGCGCCGTTAGGATGCTTCAGCTTCCCCAGAAAACCCAGAATTTCATTCCTTGCCCAGCTCTTGGGGAGGCCCCTGATGTTGGGGTTGCCCGGTGCCAGAGTTGTCAGGCCAGGGTAGTAACTTGCCTCTTCTGTGGGGGAACCAATTCCTGCTTTGCTCTCCTTCGCTTCTAGGATTACAAGGGGCAGAAGCTAGCTGAACAGATGTTTCAGGGAATTATTCTTTTTTCTGCAGTAAGTATTGGTTTTGCGTAGTATTCTTTCTTTTCTCCCCCCCCCCCCCCCCCCCCCCCCCCAGCCAGCTTGACTATATTTAACGTACTTCGTTTATCTCCAGATAGTTGGATTTATCTACGGGTACGTGGCTGAACAGTTCGGGTGGACTGTCTATATAGTTATGGCCGGATTTGCTTTTTCGTGTTTGGTAAGAAGTTTGTGGATATTTGGATGTCCGTGGCAAGTTAAGTTTTCTAAATTGGGTTGGTTTGGTTGGACCTAGCGGTGAGAACCAGCACCAGCTTTTCAAAACTTCCTTTTTGCCATCAGCGTTTCACCCTGTTTCCATCACTGGAAAAGTAGAATACCAAATAAGTGTCAGATAAAGTTAAGCTGCATAAAAGGACACAGTTCATTTTTTATGGCAGCTGCTCCAAGCAGTAATCTTAAACTCAAAATTAGCAGTAATTTCTTACCGTCTTCACAGTGCTCTCTCCTCACCTTTTAGCTCTTAAAGCCTATGTGTAAATGGTGAGGCCTGTTTGCAGTCCTTAAAGTATCTTGTCTGGGTGGACAAGTTTTCATTGGAATGTCAGTTTTGCTGTTGTTTTTACTTCTAGTAACATAGAGGAGTTATTTGGGAACCAGATATTGCACGTCATGCTTTTTTAAACTTTGAATGTTTAATATTGATGGATTTTTCTGTTTTGGCTCAGTTGACACTTCCTCCATGGCCTATTTATCGCCGGCACCCCCTCAAGTGGTTACCTGTTCAAGATTCAGGCTCTGAAGACAAGAAACCAGGGGAAAGAAAAATTAAGAGGCATGCTAAAAATAATTAGGGTTTTCATGATTCAGCTTGACTACTGCACCTGCTTTCATTTTGTGTGAGATGAGCTAAATTGTTTTCATATCCACATGAGCTGAAACCCACCTCTGCTCCTCCAGTGCAGCTGTGTATAGATTTTGTTCTCTTTATATTTCACTTCTAACTTAGTTGGCTTTTGACATGTAATTATTTTAGACCTTCTCTTCATAATCTTTCTCTGAAATGACTGCAGAAAACCCAAATATGCAAAATTTCTTTCAGGTCTACAAAAATAATGAATAAATGCCTCATAAAAGTATAATTTGACTGTCAAAGTTTTATAATTCATTGTGAGTGGTTAAATTGTTTTAAGGTTTTCAATTAAAACTCAGTGCAGGTCTATGTCTAAAGAGTCTTTTATTCATTGTTTTGCAAGCGAACCTACTAGTAAAAGCCAGAGTTAGAAGTTTGTGGTTCTGAAAGCGTAACTGAGCACTGTTTCTATTTTCTGTTAGCAGCACGTTCCTAATCTGTGTCTTGAAATTTTCCAGAGGCCTGAAAAGTGTTCTAAAGGTTTTGTGTGTGGAATGGGAGTGGGAGAGTTATTATAGGTAATATTCTATTTCTCAGTACAAGAATATAGGACTTAATAAAATACAAGTTTAAAAAATGAGAACAAAGACCTTAATAAACCAAAGTCAGGAAGGCTTAAAAAAAAAAAAATTAAAACAGCATAAATAAGACTAAACATAATTAAGAGTAATAAATGTGATTTAAAAGTTAGGAGCTCCCAAATAGTGTTAAAAGTCAAGTTACCTTGGGGCTCCTGGGTGGCTCAGTCGGTTAAATGAACAACTGTTGTTTCAGTTCAGCTCGTGATCTCACAGTTCATGGGTATGAGCAACAAGTTGAGCTCCACGATGATAGCATGGAGCCTGCTTGGGATTCTCTTGCCCACCCCCCTGCCCCTCCTGCACACATGCTCTCTCTCTCTCAAAATGAATAAACTTAAAAAAAAATGAAGTTACCTCACCCAAAGGTTGAAAACTGGAAAAAGGATATATAAGGCAGATGCATGCAGAAGAGAGGGGTAAGTAGAAAGCCAAATACTTAACGTCAGAAATGCAGCAAGGAGGGACCTCTCATAGCTGCCAAAATGTGGCTGTTCTGAATCGTTATGCATTAAATAAGACATGAAATGTGGGGCGCCTGGGTGGCTTAGTCAGTTAAGCGTCCGACTTTCGCTCAGGTCATGATCTCACGGGTCGTGGGTTCGAGCCCCGCGTCGGGCTCTGTGCTGACTGCCAGCTCAGAGCCTGGAGCCTGTTTCAGTCTGGGACTCCCTCTCTCTCTGACCCTCCCCTGCTCACGCTGTCTCTCTCTCTCTCTCTCCTATAAATAAATAAAAACATTAAAAAAAAAAAGACATGAAATGTATAAAAAAAGAATTTTACGTAAGAGTTTGGCAACGCTCCCATTCATTCGGTAGGAGACAAATAACTACCTTTCAGATTTTGGTAGGTAAGTGGGCAGGTATTGAAAGGAAGACTTCTGCACTTGTTCTCTATCTTAGAACATCTTCCCAGATATATGGGACTTGTTCTTTCCTTTCACTCAGGTCTGATAGGACTATAAAGAAGCATCTCCTACTGCCCTATCAAAAAAAAGTGGTATGCCCCATCCTATATGCACTGATAGATCTCACATTATATACTTTTTCATTGCTCCCGTCTCCCTCCACAGAATGTAAGCTCCATGGGAGGGAACAAGGATCCTGCTTTGCTCACTGCTGTTTGCCCAGTACTTCTAAGAGTTGGTGAGACATTGTAGATGGTCAATAAATAATGAATGATTCAGAGCTGCATTATCCAATATGTTGTCATTAGTCACCTGGTCTATTTAAATTTAATTAGAACTAAAATTAAAAGTTGAGTCCCTCAAACTAACCACATTTCAAGAGCTCAAAAGCCATATATGACCAGTGGCTACCTTTTCAGAGAATACAGATACAGAACATTTCCATCTTCACTAAACTCTACTGATCAGGTCTTATACAGGTTTGAATAGATAAAGGCAAGTGATTGTGTCTGTGCATAACAATTCACCTTTATTAAATGCCCATAGGACCTTTCCATCTATTGGCACTGAGCCACGGTGAAAAACAATCCCAAGAAATAAAAGTTAATGCAGGTCATATTCAGTAACCATACTGCAGTGTAGCTGGAGCAAGGAGAGAGAATTTTCTTGGCTTTCTCCCCACCCCTCCGCCCCGCTGCCAGAGAGAGCCTGTGAGTGAGCACAAGCAGGGGAGAACCAGCGGGAAAGGGAGGGAGAGAATCTTAAGCAGGCTCCATGCTCAGTGCAGAGCCCAATGCAGGGTTTGATCTCACTACTGACTGAGATCAGAAGTCAGACGCTTAACTGACTAAAACACCCAGATGCCCTAAATTTTTTTTTTGGCTTTCTAAATACACGTATCCCCTACTTTCCAAAAGCTCATTTCATGCCACTTCACTTTTCTGAAAGTCTTACATTACTACAGTAATGGTTTTTTTCATAAAAGCGAAAATCCTCTTCAGATTTCTTTCAGTTAGCAAGAACAGGTGCTACTGTAGGTCTTAAGAGCAAAGAACTTTTAGAAAGTGGGAGATACTCTTTGTTTTTCACCATTTCAGCTTACCAAAGATTTCATAGGAGTGCTCTTTTTGGATAACAAGGGAAATATGTGTATGGAAATTAAGGAATATTTCTTAAAAGAGAAAAAAACAATTACTGACCATTTAAATCCTGTCAAAAATATAGGCGAAAATATGGCCAAAGGTATAATGAGAAAAAAAGTCATACTGTTAAAGGTGTTTTATATTTAAGAAAGATAAAAAATGATTAAGCACTCAGAAAAACCACAGAGGGGCACCTGTATGGCTCAGTCAGTTGAGCATCCAGCTTCAGCTCAGGTCATGATCTCATCATTCATGGCTTCAGGCCTCGTGTAGGGCTCTGTGCTGACAGCTGGCTCAGAGCCTGGAGTCTGTTTCAGATTCTGTGTCTCCCTCTCTGATCCTTCCCTGCTCACACTGTCTCTCTCTCTTTCTCAGAAATAAATAAAAAACATTTAAAAATTAAAAAAAAAAAGAAAAACCACAGAATAACCAAAAGATAATGAGATGAAAACCAAATGAATGTGTAAACAAAATAAAAATATAGAGAATGGGAATAATAACATATGGGGAGGAATTTTTTAATTCTAAGAAAATAGATACATTATACAAATTAGTGAGAAAACTAAAACTGCTATCTCTCCAGAAAGAGGTATTCATAAAACATACAAAAAATGGTGAATAGTTCAGAAAGACCCATAAATTGCCAAGGTTTTGCCCCAGACTGGGACTGGGATGAGGTGGTTTTACTGTTGAGGTTTAAGAAACCCTTCAAAGTGAAAATAAAAGAGCTCAGAAACCAGGCTATGAGCACCATAAAGGCAGGGATAGTGTTTTACTCACCACCATATCCCCAGCTCCTGACATAGCACCTGGCATATAGTAAAAACTAAAAATCTGTTAAGTGACTGGAAGGAGAACATTTCATTATTTTATGCATGTGTAATTTTCAAAGAAGGTAAGCTAACACTTTTAATTATAAAAAGTGAAAACATTTCTAGAGCAGCCTTCATTTTTAAAGTCCCTTGAATACAAAAGTGAAAATTTACTAATCAAGATTTTTATTTTATAAAAACCATTTATTTCCCACATGGAATTACCCATTATTAAACAACTAATAAAATATGTAATATACAGTCTTACGTTTAAAACATGGTTAATATAACGAATAATTTGACAGACAAGAAGACGGACTTCAGGAGGTAAGTATGTCCAACATAACTAAAAGGAGCTGGACTTACAAATCGCTTAATTGGAAAAGGGATTAGTGTTTAAGAAATGTTTTCACTGGTGAAAAGTTACTCCAAAAAAAAGCAAAAACACTGACTTACAAAGCCAAATTATTTCTTAGTTTCAATTCTTGCATATCCTAAATGAGGTTCATATTAAATGAAAATAAAAGGTTAAACATCAATATGTAAAAAAGGAATTCAACTACTCAAGTACTAGATACTGCTTCATACTCTTTATATCTACTGCCAGAATCATGAACTGATTTTTTAAAAAAATAATTTATCAATTACTACCTAAGGTTATTAACCATGACAACTAGCATCACTAGACATATGTCATTTCTCCTATTGCTTTTATCACTATAGTACAATATAAAACTTCTAATATTTTATGGCCTTTATGTATCAAACTAATTAGTACCTTAGAAAAATAAAGTTCTAACTATAAAGTTGGTGGTTTAAGGCTCAGTAAACAGTAACCAAACAAAAGTCATAACAGATTTTCCTCATCAAGAGTAAGATTAGCCAAAGGTTTTTTCCTTTGTTTTGTGACATTGCTTCATTTTACTCTGTTCCATCCCATTTTCTTTCACAGTTAAAAAAAAAAAAAAAAGATATGAGGATGTTGAATGGCCTCAAGCCATTATTGTAGGTTTGTTTCTGTTTAAGCCAAAAACCATTGAAAATAGGTCTTTAGTTCTAGCAGATTAGAATAAATTATCAAAAATTCACATTTTCTTCAAAAAATTTCAGCTGGCGAGCTTTCACACTGTAAGTTGTGTATTTTTCACCCATGTGCTTCTGCAAACGTACCTAGTGGAGAAACAAAAAGAAAATCAGTATGTAGTAGAAAGAATATTTTTTAATCTTTTAGAAGAAAGGCTTTTCTTTTTTATTATAGTTTATTGTTTAGTTGGTTTCCTTATAACACACAGTGTTCCATGCAACAAGTGCCCTCCTCCATGCCCATCACCATTTTCCCCTCTCCTCCACCCCCCATCAGTTGGTTCTCAGTATTTAAGTGTCTCTTATGGTTTGCCTCCCTCCCTCTCCATAACTATTTTTTCCCCTTCTCCTCCCCTATGGTCCTCTGTTAAGTTTCTCCTATTCCACATAAGAGTGAAAACATAAGGTATCTGTCTTTCTCTGCCAGACTTATTTCACTAAGCATAACACCCTCAGGTTCCATCCACGTTGCTACAAATGGCCAGATTTCATTCTTTCTCATTGCCATGTAGAATTCCATTGTATATATAAACCACACCTTGATCCATTTGTCACTGATGGACATTTAGGCTCTTACCATGATTTGGGTATTGTTGAAAGTGCTGCTATGAACATTGGGGTACATGTGCCTCTAGGCATCAGCACTCCTGTATCCCTTGGGTAAATTCCTAGCAGTGCTATTGCTGGGTTACAGGGGAGTTCTATTGTTAATTTTTTGAGGAACGTCCACACTGTTTTCCAAAGGGGCCGCACCAGTATACGTTCCCACCAACAGTGTAGGAGGGTG